TAGGGACCGCGTCTCGGAGGTAGTTGGTTGGTCTGGTGAGTTTTAAAGTGTGTAATGTTAGTAACAAAGGAGAGAATTGCAGGCTAATGTTGCGATGTAGCGTGCAAGTCTTCCTTGCTTGGTTTGAATGGGATGACATACGCTTCTGTTTTCATTGACCAAACATAACTTTCTGTAGGCCATCTATGAGCTTTTGGACTGGACAACAGCAAGCAGCAACTACGCTGCTTTCAAGCCAGTACTCCGCTTTGCAGCTCCTTTGAATTGACAAGCACAATCAAACGTTCAGTGATTCACATGATGAGCGACTAGAGCGACCAAAGCTGCCACAAATATTTTTGACAGTCGTGCTTCTTGGGCGTATGGATAGACTTAGCCTCTTTGGAAGCTTCTGGTTTGAATGTACAGTAAGTGGTTTAGGAACTTTGGTATGTTGAAACGGCCACTATATGATAAGTCAATCAAAAGAAACAAATGAGATAACTGCTTACCTGTTTAAGTAATTGATCAAGCTAGATGCCACAGGTGGTCAGACAAAACAAGCAATGTGGAGATCAAACCTTTAGCTTGGGTGATGAGGGTTTGTATCTGTTTTCAGAAATTTCTTAGACTAAATAATTATTTAATAATCTCTACTTGCAGCCTTTCGCAGGACTGAAGGCTTCCAACTTTGGTGTCTTATACATCACAGCTAAAAGATCAGAGTTGGAAGTAAGTCACATGTGCAAGTCCCAATGGTTAACCTTAAAGTCTCAAGCAAGTCATCAGTTACTGTGGTGAGACTCAAGCAAGTCAAGTTGTGTCCCTGCTATACGTGAAGCAAGTCACAAGTCAAGACATATGAAATTTTCATGAACCACTCTGGTGTCCACATTTTAATTAGTCAAAAGTCAGTGGTCATGAAAAGTTGAGTTTTATTTTCAGCATTAATGAACATTGTTCAGCCTGCTCACACCTTATTTGACATTTTGTAGCAATCAATAACAAGCCTCTTTATTAACAACAATGGAGAGTGTGGCTCCATAATTATTATACAGCCCTGAATGGCAAAATAATGGCTTTAAAGTGAAAACAAAAGCACAGTGCCGAAAAAAAGGGGTTAGCTGTTTTGGTGGTCACGTCTCATTTTTGAACTGCAGACCTTGCATACCGCTGTTCTCTTCCTATGACCATCATCAATAAAATAACCCTTAAATTCAAACTGTATTATCTTTGGACTAGTCCCCTCCTCTAGTGCATCCTAGTTGGTTGCCAGGTTTGCATGCTTTGAACCAGAAATTACCCAAACATGTTTCAAAAAACAAATCAGGACTTTTCAATATGTAGAAAAATGCCATGGAATGCAAGTCATCGATTTTAAGTCAAGTCATATACACCAAGTCAAAGTTGAGGCTTTTATCAGTGTTAGTCAAGCAGGTATCAAGTCCTCAAGTCCTCCAGTCAAGTCATGTGACTGATCCCACCCCCTGTACGGATAATCTAATGTAGCTTCATAGGATTTCTTCTCTGTATGACAGGTCAATGCAATGACTTACACAATGCAATCATGGCTCCTTGCAAAAACTGTGGAGGAAATAGCTCGAAATGGCGGCCAATTGATTGTAATAGGGCTATTATTATTATTATACTTTTACAGTAATACCATATAGCAATCATGTGGTCACCGTAGTAATCCTTGTTCACTCTTTAATATACCGAAGCAACAGTGTTTGACCTTTGTAAAAACCTGCTCAGGAGCAGTGTCACTGAGCAAGGTCAGAAAACCCATTTACACCAACAGGAAACAGTTCTTATTTCTTGGTCCTTGTTCTGGTGTGAAGGAGGTATCAGTCACTCCGTCAGTCACTCTGCCACTCTGTACTCCTCACGACAGAACTTGTTTATTAGTATTTCAGTGGTGTGTTTTCAGCAGCAGGAGCCTCATGGCGGCGACAGCAGGGTGGCACTGTAAACAACCATCACACCTCTGTGTGAGCGGCAGAGCTGATGTCAGCACAACTGAAAGTCTCCCTCCATCATGTAGCTACATGAGGCCCCAGCAGCATCCATCACTCCCCCTGCCGCCTCGACAGAGAGAAGCCTTGTCACCAGCAGAAAACCTACAGCAAAGTGGCCGAGAGAAACGTACATCATATTGTGTCTGAGCACTGAGTCTGGCCTCGATCGTCGCTAATGTTCTCGGGTCCACACAGTTTTTCATATGTTGATTTAATACACTCCAACACAATGCAATATGTATTAACCTTGTCGGAGTGTGCTTCATTGAGAGTTCTCTTTGTTCTCCTTTGATGCATTCATCCAGCCCTTTGAAATACTGCACGTATGAAATTATACACAGAGCCAAGTCAAGCTGAAGTCACCCCACCTATAATCCATCCATCTTGTTGGCAGCCATCTGGGCGTATTATTTTGGAGAGGCCGAGGCGCACGCCTTGCTACGAAAGCAAGGACTTCTGACAACGAGGCATTCTTTGAACCAGAGAGTGACCCGACCGGCTGCGGGCCCCCCTGACACCCGTAACAGGCCTTGTCGCCTTAAGTTGGTATTAAACAAAAACTTGATGGATGATCCAGAACAGATGATATTATGATAAGAGCGAAACCTAAATGGGAAAAGGCGACAATAGATCTGTCAGCGGTTGATCCCGAGCTCTGGGGGGAACAGTAATGGAGAAACTTGTCTCCTATTAAAGCAAGAAAAGGCTCGAATTGTCTGACAACAAGAAGCCCTGAGGATTTTAAGAAAAACCCTGTATTCTAAGAGTCTTATATGAATCAGTGTCAACATCAACATGGCAGATCGATACACATCGATATCAAAAGCAGGGTCAGCACAAAGATGGGTCATCTCGACAAGCTGTTTCCAGAGGAAAAAATCAGATCATGAGTTCACAGCTACAGCCTTGTGACACTGACTGCTTACCCAATCTCCATCTAAGCAACAGCCCCCCCGCCGAAATAAAAATGAATGACTGCCAGAGCCGGTGATGTCACTGGCCACATTTGTCCCCCATCAGTGCGGATAGCTTCAACCAGGGGGCTGGGGCGTCCTTGAGACACTGTGATAGAGACACCCACCCACCCCCCACCCTCTCGCTGCTGATACCCTGCTCAGGCCCTTGCTGCATCAGTGTCAGGAGCCCTGCAGGCAGGAAGCTAAAAAGGATGGCAGCCCCTTCCTTCCCTTCAAAGAGGAGAGGGCCATGGGAGCAGCTGACATGAATTTGACCCCTCGGACTGATGACATTATGCGCAGAGGAAACTGTGACTTCTGAGCCATCCTAATCTTGTCACCTTTATTGACGATCTAAATTTATCAGCTACAGGAAATAAGGTGTTTGTAAAGTGCACACACAGGCCTACTTTGGTTGTGTCTTTTATTTTTAAGATGGTTTATTTGCAGTAGCTGATCTGCCACCCCATTGTTCTTTTTATCCTGCACACACACACAAAAAAACAAAACAAAAAAACAGTGAAGAAATCCTGTGTGCAGGCACAGCATGAGTAGTGAGTGATTCTATCTGATGCACTGCGAGCTGAGCGGCCCTCCCTCTGGGCAGTTCAGCCTTGCCTGACTAGGAAGAGAGGGAAGAGCTTGTGTGCTGGCGTGCGTGCGTGTGTGTGTGCGTACTGTGCGTGTCGGGAGGGGAGACATTGTTCCTTGACGTCACCACTCAGCCCAGCCTGCCGCTGCTCTCAAACACGTCTTTGTTATTCTTCCACCGGAGACCGGCCATCCGCAAAACACGGAGCCCCGCCTGCAGAGCTGCTGGAGCGGGGCGCGGGTTGCGAGGGTTCACACAGGCGCGCGCGCTCATAGACACACACGTCAGAGCAGAAAACGAGATTTATAGATTAACATTATCATTTATGCGATCGATACCCCTATTGTTATTACCCTGTTCTACTATAATAAT